ATAAACAATGCTGTGTGGGCGGTCACTGTTTTGGTCTTTGGGCAGGGCAAACATTGGGAGGGCCAGCGTTTTCACATTGGGCCGGCTATGAAAACAAAAAACAGAGAAGCTCAGATTACAACACACACAGAGGGGGTGTGACTTTATTCTCTGCTCAGGACACTATTACTGCACTATATCTTTACATAAAAAAGTTGCTGCTATATTAATGTTTCAAATGTCATATGCAGAAGCTTTCACACCTCTTGAGGCTCAGAAAAAATGTGTTTAAAGGCAACTGATTTTGGCTTTTGTATAGTATTTGTCTTAAAACATGTTGAATTGTAATGCAGCTGGGATAGGCTCCAGCTCTTCCCCGCGACCCAGAAGGATAAGTGGTTTAGATGATGTGTGTGTGTGTGTGTGTGTGTGTGTGTGTGTGTGTGTGTGAATTGTTATGCATTTGAATCACTTTAATATAATCTGTTATTCTTTTGGTGAGCTCTTCTGAGTGATCTGGGATCAGATGATCGACCTGGTCAGTGAGTGTGTCTGACTCATGTAGACCCAGAGTTTCCCATTATCTGATTACTCATTTGATTTTTTGCCATTATCAGATTAAGTGCATGTAAACACACTCGGTGTGTCAGTCACAGGATAAAGCTCCAGTTTTAGTTTTTACTCAGATAGAGCAGAGGTTAGTGCTTACAGCCAGCACCTCATTAGATCTAGTTAATTCTAGTGATGGCAAAATTAAACTTTCTGAGGCAGAGAAGCTTTCCTTTAAGTTCTATTAGAAAAGGTTTTACTACTCAAAGCAGTGCACATTAATGACATCTGGTGGATAAAAGTGTTAACAACAGCTATAATTCTAATCTGTCCTGGGGGACATTCAATCCCAATCTTTATCTTCTAGTGACTTAAAGCAATGTTACTAGTTTTCGAAGCACTGAAGGTAATTGGTAACATAATCATGATGCATTGGGTGTAGTGATAAAAATATCTCCTTAGAGGAAGATTATTCACAGCTGGTAATTTTATAGCAAATCTCCTGATCCAAGCATGCACAACCTGACTCACACATAACAGTGCCCTAGCCCAAAGGTGTCCAAACTTTTTTCAAAGAGGGCAAGATCAGTACATATGAAAATACATTATTCACAAATGATTCCAAATATTAACTTTCCAAAATATGAAAAATATAATCATGTAGTGCAGTTAACCGAAATATGCGTCTTGCTGGCAATCCATTCTGAGAATTTGCCTATGAACTTTTAAACACGTATAAATCTGCTGCCAGAAGAGTGTCCAGTCTGGTCAGAGTGAAACCTATCAGTGCATAGAATTCAGTTTTGTTAAATTTTTGGTTTGGCCAAACAACCAAACAACAAACATTTGTGCTTTATGTCTGCAGTCTTGGTTAAATGTCGTTCAGTAGATTAAGCTGCAGGCTTAGTCACAGAAGAAAGGCCTTTAAACTTTAGTTAACTTTGTACCACAGTGCGGTTAGAGCTGGTTTATGAGGAACCTGGCCTCCTTCTGTTTCCCCAGTTATATCAAAAAGAGGACTGCAAAACACCAGAGGGTGGTCATGAGTGAGTCCTCAATGAACAGGAGCACAGAAGCTAAACAGCTAAAAATGAAAAGTTAAAATAGTTTCTAATCACTTGCCCAGAACTTTCCTTTAATTTTAGAAAGTAGGATGTATTTCACTAAAAAAGCAAAGAAAACTCACCTATATATTTTCTTTTTCTACAGCAAACAGGTTTTGCAGCAGTGTCAAAATGTTTATGCTACTCTGTGTTTAGGAAATTAATCTATTATTTTATATTAAAAATGTTTAAGCTTTTATAAACTATGATTTTGCTCAAATGTTCCATATTAATCTATTTATTTTGGACTCGTTCGGGAGCGCCCTCTAGTGTTTGAGGAAGACTCTACAAGTTCTCTGGTGCAGTGCATTACACTATAATTTTACAGTACTGCTGCCACCATCAGGTGAAGGGAAGAATAGCAATGTATTGACAGGCGGGCCACTAACACACTCTAAAACAGAAACCACAGGCCAATTAAAATCTGCCCACGGGCCACATTTGGCCCTGGCACTGGACTTTGGACACCACTGCTCTAGTGTTTCACATATATTTTATAGTCAAATTGTAGGCTTCATATAAGAAACCTAAATCAAAGTGTAAGTGTTCGGTATTGGCTCGAAACCATGGAAACATACACTGGTTTGCTTCTTTTGAATCAGCAGTCATGTGGTTGTAGTCGGACATTACTGATCATGATTCTGTAAAATGAACCAAACATCTGTACAGTGCTTGCTGAGAACTTGAGTATCAAGAGTAACATCACTTGTTCAGTCTCTGGTTGGGGATACCATGTTACACTGGCATTTTGGACAAGGTGTAATGATTTAATGATGTTTTTTGGGGAGACTGGTAAGCAGTCCATTGCAGTAGTCTTGCTGAAAATAAACACATGGATTAACTTTCTCTGCTGTTAAGAGATAAAATCTCTAGGCCCAATCCCATTTCACCCCTCGCCCTTACCACTTAGCCCTTAGCCCTCTGTTTTGTGTGTTCACAACCAGGGGTAGGGTGCCCCGATTTTTGTTGAGATAAAGGGGTAGGACAAAGTGTTAGGGCTACATGGTCCTCCAAACAGAGGTTTTTCAGAGGCACACTCCAAACAGAGTGTTCTGAGAAAAAAAAAAGAAAAACCGGCAAGATGGTGGTGCAAGCGACCAAAGAAACTCACAAATGTATTTTCTCCGTTAAAAATTACGATAACCATTATTGTCTTAGTTTAATGCTGTTTCAATGTATTATGATCTTTTTCTTTATAACAAGCATAAAAAATCACTACTTGTATGCTAATGTCTCGGTAGCTAACTAACTAAATTTCCCGTTCTACCGTTTTTTAGCAGTACCGACACCTGAGGCGCCAGAATGTAACTTCAGCTTCATATCACTGAAGAATTAGGGGTGGGCGATAATAAATAGTTATGACACCCCTCTCTCTTTGAAAGCATATGATGCCCTAAATGTAACTAAAGCCCAGCAGTGATGTTGCTGAACTTTACCCCCCTCATCTCTGCAGACTATCAGGGTCGCCTACAGAGCAGTGCTAGTAGCCTGTTAATGAAGTAATGTTCTTCTTTATTTGAGGATTGTTCCATTTCATAGGGGAAGATTTCAACCACAACCCTTTGTAACCAAGTTCCAATAAGCAAAGTGACACTGAAAAACAAGGGGTAGGGGTAAAAATAAGAAATGGTATTGGGCCTAAATCTTTAAAATGGTTGAGTGACACCCGTTTGAAATACAACCATGATTCTATTGAATACAAATGAGCTAAAAGTCACAGACATGTATTTTCTTAGTTTCCAGAAATCATTAGATCTTCTCTGATGGCCTAGAAGGCCCTGAGAGTTCCCCTTTACTGTTAGTCAAGTTAATGTAGCTAGTGTTAGCTCTCCAAATGCCCTTGGTAAATTCTAATTAACATACACACTTAAAATTTTGGTTCTTCAGAGGTTTAGTAAAGGCAATGGTTCTATTTATAACCATGAATTCTACATAGAATCATTTCCATGCTTAACTGGTTATGGTCATGGTGAAATGGCTCTTCAGATTGATGGAGAATGTGACGTATATGGTTCTGTATAGAACATTTTTGACAATGGTTGCATATAGCACCAATAAATGTTCCAGGCTTGACATTGTAACAATAGCCTAACCCTTTTTGCTGCTAATTAGAACCATATACAACAGATTCTCCATCAATCTGAAGAACTATTCCACCATGCAAACAAGAATTTAAGCATGGAAATGGTTCTACAAAGAACTCATGGTTCAAAATGGATCAATTTCTGTTTTTTGAAGAATATTTTTAATGTGTACTGCTCTTTATTTTTGCCAGGTGTATTACTGTATGTCTTGGTTTTGGGTACCAAGATTATTATGTGGAATCAACTCAGCAACATGCGACTCTTTTACTGTCCTGTTGTGGCTCCACAACAGAATTAGATCTTAAGGTAAAAATAAAATAATCCTCTTCTGCAGTTAAATAAAGCTCTGCTGATCGTTCAACACAGATTGAACAATAAATAGAGTTAATATATAACTGCTAATTCACCCTTTAACCCTGAAGATCAGCGTGCAGACTGCTGGTCACCGTAGCAACGCAGACAAGAATGTGGCCTAGCTAGTAGCTAACGAAAAGGAAAAGAGAAAGATTTAAGACGAACATTTATAATTTGGAGATTAATGGACTTATTTGCATTTATAAATACTCGAGATGGTTTTCTGATACGTTTAATCTGCTGCGAGAAACTCTCAAACACTAAAGTCGCAAAGCTGAAGGCAGCTCCTCATTCGCCACTTCTTGTTCGAATTTTCCCGTTCCACCTTAAATGGTGCAGCGGATACATTCTGGCGCCTCTAGCGCCATTTAAGGTGGAACAGGAAAATGTGAACAAGAAGCTGGCGAACGAGGAGCTGACTTAAGCCTCGTAAAAAGTTGAACGTTGAGAGACATTTTACAAGAAATTGTCCCACTTTTGAGGAAAAGTGCTCCGTTGGTGATGCAAGAAGAGCGGCTATAGCTAGTTGAGCTAGCGAGCTAAAGCTCAAAGCAAAGCAACGTAAGCCTGCGTTTTCGTTTATATTATATTTTTTAGTCTACACTAGGACAGCTAGCACATATGAAGACATGTTTTCAGCCAAGATGGTAAAAGGTTAACGTTACTTCAATATAATGGATATAAAATCTTGTGGTTGTTGATTTTTGTTAAAATGACAAAATGGCTCTTCTTAACATTTGGGCTGCCGGCCAATGGGATTGGGCCTGGGAGTCGGAGTGGGAGTCGACTCTCATTTCCAGAACTGAACAGCCTTATTATGGATCGGTGATGCGCATGTGAACGCTGCCTCAGCTCCCCACAACACGCTCCGCCCGCTCTGCTGCTGTCCACGCCTCGAAAACGGGAGGGAAAACGGAAAACAGCGAGAGGAAAACATCCTTTCCCCATCGACAGCCTCAGCTCTGGGCGCTTGCTCGTCTCGGGCTTTAACGATGAAACCGTAACTCACATCGGCAAAGGTAGGCACCGCTTCGACCAGCTGTTTCGGTGAATGTGTCATTATCGACTGTCTGCGCTCTTCTGCTGTCTTGGCTGTGCAGAGAGAGGCTAATTAAGGAGCTATAAAGTTGTAGTGAATGCTCACTAGTGCCTTCCTTTGGCTTTTGTGGAAGCTAGACACGGCCGTTGTTAGCATTTATTAACGGACAGCAGATTTTGATGATGTGCTGGCAGCCCATCCTCTGTAGGCGGTGTAAATACAGCAGTATCCTGCTCCGTACGCTCTGTACACGGCTGTGTGGTTGAATTTGCCAAAGCAAACATGAAAATTCACTCAGGAGGCCTGTAACCAAGTGTAAGACGATGAAGAAGCTCTGGTTTAAAAGGCAGGCTTGTAAAATGAGCGCATTATGTGAAGCCTGAAGTGGAACTGTGTCCTACTAGTTCATATCGCATTATCGTGTTTTCCCTGCTGTAAACACAACTGACTCAACTCAGCAGCCTCAATTTGTGAGGCTACATCCCTTTAAACTCTAGGCATATTTTTTTTAGTTATTAAGCTTAAGGCTTACTGTTTAGCTACTACAGTGAATTACTCAGTAAAGGTATGTAGTCTGGATATGCTGGCAGCCCCTTGCAGTTTAAGGGGGATTCCAAAAAATTGAAACTCAGAAGTGCAGTTAAAATAACCACTACTAACTAATCAAAACTAAATTAAAAACCAAAATGCATACAAAACAAATCAGATAAGAACAATAAACAGAACAATACAAACTCTAAATAGTTTTAATCTCCCCTATACAGATTTTAATTGCACACAGACTTTTATTTTAGAAAATAAACTTAGGCAAACAACTGAAAGAAAAAAATGACTAAGCCGAATAGAAAATGATTTTATACAAAAATGTTGTTGCTGACATTGTATTAGATGAAAATGAATTACTAAACTAATTTACAAAGTAGAACTAAAGAAAGGAAGGATGGAAAAATAAGTAAATTGGACTGTGAATGGAAAATGAGCGATGATAAGTGGAATTTTGTCTATTACTCTGTTTAACCAATGGTGGGCCGCCCGGGAAACGCTGAGCAAAATGCCAGTGGACCACCAGCTTTGCCATCAGTGGGTCAGCAGTGGCCCTCTATCCTCTTGCTATGAGGGAGGAGCTACACTGGCAAGACAGAACCAACCAAGACAGAACAGATACTTCATAATCAATACATAATCATTAAAAAGACTCAAAAGCCTGAGAAAATAGATGGGTTTTTAGATTCCTTTATGAAAAGCGGAAAACTGTTCCACAGTCTTGGGGCAGCTACAGAAAAGGCTCAATTGCCTTTGAATCTCAAATGGGAGCGTGGAATGGCTAAGAGCAACTGGTTAGAAGATCGTAGGACTTGTTAGGTTGGAATGGAAGCATAGGAGATCAGAGATGTAGCTCAGAGCCAAGCCGTTCAATTCTGTATCTTACTGGTAACCAGTGCAGTGACGCATGTACAGGGGTGATGCTCTCCCTGTTCTTGGTACCAGTCAGGAGCCTCGTGGCTGCATTTCGGACCAGCTGCAGACATGACGAACTTGACTGACAGATTCCCAAGTACAGCGAGTTGCAGTAGTCAATACGAGAGGAAATAAAAGCATGAACAGCTGTTTCCAGGTCCTTTAAAGACAGAATGCTTTTAATTTTTGCGATATTTCTAAGTTGAAAGAAGCTACCTCTCACAACAGCATTTATATGCTTCTCAAACTTAAGAGCAAAATCAAAAATAACACCAAGATTTTTTACATGACTATGTACGTAAGATAATAAAGGCCCCAGATAATTAGCTATAGCTCTGGCCAAATCAGGATTTTGAAAACAGGCAGTTCTCAGAATTCTGATTAAACTTAGTCAGTGGTTGAGATGTAAACAAAGTCATTCAGAGTGATTGGATGTGAAGTGGTGCCTTGTAGAGAAGCTTACTGATTGAATTTTTTACAGTGGTGTTGATAGGAACCAGGGGTCTCAATGTCTACATCACAAATATAGCCATTTTATTTGCTATGCAAAACCACCAGTGAACCATTGTGTGTCTAATGAGTTTTATATGTAATGTTGAGAAAAAAAAAAGTGTAAAATAGTGGTAAATCTGAAAAAAGGAAAAAAAATGGAGACTGTTTTGCCTTACAACACCCCTTACATGCACCTCTCCGCCAAGAGCTCGTGTCAGAACTGTAAGTCAACATCTCAGGATTAGGCAGCATTTTCATAACCATTTCATGTAATAGTTTTCTGTGAGATAAACTTTAGAGAATATTTTTTCAGAAAATTCTGAGCAAGTTTTTCTAGAATGGAACATTTCACATCAAATCACTTTGAATGGCTGCGCGCAAAGTTGGCTCATCTCAGATCAGTCAAAATGTTTACTGTCCAGACTTTCTCTATTTAGTCTTGCATTGAAGCCAAAGCCTCCAGTTTAGCACTGAGCAGACTTGCTTGTGTGTTTTCTGACAGTTTACAAGGTACTGTTCATACTGTTCATACTTAAAAAAATAAATTACATAGCTAAAAACAGTAGCAGCAGCCATCTGATAGCCTGGAATTTGACTCAAGTACAAATCTAAAGAAGTGTACTTTGAACACCAAACATATTTTGGCTGATTGACTACATTTGGAGGGAAATTGTGTAAATTGCTTTAAAGGCTTGCAGTGAAACTCCACACTGAGGATTCAGTTACTAATGTAGCTAACAAGTAATGGAAACTTAAACCCCACCAGTTAGCTTTACTTGTGCAAACAGCTATAATTCAGCTTCTTTCTTTTCTGTCCAGGCGCGGTGGCGCAAGATGGAGGCGGGCAGCCTGCCTATGGAGCTGTGGCGCCTCATCCTGGCCTACCTGCCTCTGGCTGACCTGGGCCGATGCTGTCTGGTGTGCCGGGCATGGCGGGAGCTGGTGCTGAGTCTGGACAGCACCCGCTGGCGCCAGCTGTGCCTCGGCTGCCCCGAGTGCCGTCACCCCAACTGGCCGCGGCGACCGCAGCTGGCCCCACCCTCGTGGAGGGAAGCATTGAGGCAACACGCACTGGCCAGCCGCACATGGACCCAGAATGGCGCCGAGCTGCACTCGTCCGCCTGCCTGCACCTGTTCCGCCGCAGGAAGGACAGGAGGGTGTGGCACGTGGGTGCAGCACCTGGCTGCGGATTCGAGACGCTGAGGGGGGCACTGGCGGCGGCGGGGCCGTATGACAGGGTGCTGCTTCACCCGGGTGTCTATGAGGAGCAGGCAGAGGTGACCCTGAAGGTGCCTGTGGAAATTGTGGGCATGGGCAAGCTGGGTGACGTGGCGCTGCTTGTCAGCTTCGATCAACAGTGCCCCACTGCCAGGCTGTGTAATTTAGTGTTCATGCCAGCATGGTTCTCGCCAGTGGTGTATAAGGTGAGCAGTCAAACACGCACACAGTTCTGAGTCTAGGATGCTACCCAAGGCCTAATGATGAGTGTGTAATCTAGGGCTCCCACAGTTATCATTACAGTTTGGTGATTTCTGTGCTCAAACAAACTTGGTTCCCCTCATCTGTTAATTGCCAGGCTTGTTGGGTGTGTTTGATTAGGGCTGAGCTGCCCAAAAGTGTGGCCTGAGAGCCAAAGTTGGCCTGGAAAGACATATTATTTGGCCCACCAGAGCATTAACTTATTTTCACCTAGAAAATCAATAAAACATGTCATTTGACCAGAGGCACAAAAACGTTTGCACATTATATTCTGAAATTTAGGGGTTTTTTTTCTCTTTCTTTCAGCTTTGACTATTTTCGGCTGAAAATTTTCTGTGGGTGGTGTACCACCACGAACTTAAAAGGGTTGTAAGCTTAAAAGCTTTAAGCTTTAAATTAATTTAGCCTAATTTTATCTTTATCAAAGCACTGTTCTTCCAAAACTATAGTAACACGTGGAAAAAACCAAGAACTCAAAATAAGAGTTGCAAGTATATACATCATTTTTGCCTTTACATTTTCAATCCTAGCTGTTTAAGCAAAAATAGCAGTTCTGATTTGACCCCCTGATGCTTTCAGACAGCACCATCCACAGATGTAACAATGCTGTTGACGCATACATGTGCACACAAAAGTGCACTTAACTGTAGTCAGTGTAAATATTTGACCAAGAGTTGTTGAAGCATGCGATTATTGACCACATGGTTATTTGTACGACCTTGTGTCCTGTTTTGTGTTGTTGCCGCTAGGTTGAACAAAGAGAGCCAGTACTGGACCATTTGCAGTACTAATGCAGTGTAAATGGAAGCATCATATCATTGCACTGAAACATCCCCATGTCCTACTGATGATAGTGTTTTCCACAGGCCTGAAATACACTTAAGGGGAGCGTCCCTGAGGGGTGGTGGTATACTGAAACATATATATATATATATGAGATACAAGGTTTTCTTCTGCTGTCAGAAGAAAACTTCGTATCTCCATTTTCTCCATTTGCTCCTATCGGAGCTGCCACACCACCAATCAGTGACCCCCCTAAGCTATAAATGGGTGGAATGTGTTTATTTAGCCATTCAGTTATGGAATAGAAATTTGACACGTTATAATTTTAAATACTGTCATCGTTTTTAAATACTGAAGTATAACTCCAGTCTTTGGTGCACACCAGCCCATTAAAGTTGTATTAGGGATTATTGATGTGATCTACATTGTTGTTAATTTCTAGCTTTTGTGTATGTTAGACATCCTCAGGTCACGTCCAGCTGGACAACTGTAACTTTGAGGGCTGCCAGTTGCACGTCAGGGGGCCAGGCACCTGCCAGGCTCGCTTCTGCTCATTTGCCCAGGGTAGCTCTGCCCATTTTTTGGGTGTGGCCATAAGTTTAATGGACAGTTGTGAGTTCTCTGGTGGTGACTCCGCCTCTATTACTGTAGAGGGCCCTCCAGTTTCAGAGCGCAACTGGGCTTGCAAACATCTGGCTGCTTTGGCCAAAACTTTAACCGCAGTTACTATGGCGACAAGCAGTGGGTCAATAGTGGACACAGCCAGTCAGGACACAAAAGACAGTCTGGGCGGGGTCAGCCACAGAGACACAACCCTTGGAGGACCTATCACCATGGAGGACTGGACTAAACAAGAAGTGGACTGGGAAACTGGCTGGACCAAACAGAAGGCCATCAATGGGGGTCTGCTTCCAGGTGGGGTGTACTGAACAACGTTTTTGTGAGTTACTGTTTTTGTAAGAATGACCGATTAATGCAAATTCAGTGGAAGAGGGAGTGGGACTCTTTGATGGAGCTTTAGAAGGGCAACATACACCAATCAGCCATGAAGTTAAAACCACCTCCTTGTTTCTACACTCATTGTTTTATCAGCTTCACTGACCATACAGGAGCACTTTGTAGTTCTACAATTACAGACTGTAGTCCATCTGTTTCTCTGCATACTTTGTTAGCCCCCTTTCACCTCTGAGGGTTCTGACCATTGAAGAACAGGGTGAAAGGGATCTAACAAAGTATTCAGAGCAACAGATGAACTATGGTCTGTAATTGTGGAACTACATAGTGCTCTTATATGGGGCTGAGGAAATGGACAGTCTATAGGAACAAGGAGGTGGTTGATGTGTAAAAAATTAATAGAAGAGTTGTGAGAAGGGATTAGAAATATGAGTATATTAGAGGTGTAACAATGTGCTTATTTCATGATACTATACATATTGTAATGTTTGTATCATGACACAATATGTTTTCGCTAAAGAATTAGAAAAGAAGTGCTAACATAGCTTTAACATTTTTTTTTTTAAATTTTGTGATTCCTGAGGTCATCTTGTCAAAGTTAGAACTAAAGGTCATTTTCTTAGAATGCATAAAATAAAAAAAAAGTAGATAAATAAAATAAAAAATAAGTAAATATAAACTGACGTATGTTATCTGTATAAAGGTAAACAAACGTAAATGTAAACTATAAGGCTGCATCTCAGTGTTAAATAAACTGAGCATTATGGGTTCATTTGTAATCTGATTTTGTGTTTTTATATAAAGTGTATCTCTTACCTTCTGGCTGTAATGAGTGAGAGGGGATTTTTCTAATGTGGTACAGCCATGAGTTAGTGTAATTAAGGTATTAGCAGGGGTATCTGATCCTTGCGTTGAGCAATGTTGGTGCAGTGTCATTGTTTGATCTGTCTCTCTTTGTCCATCATAATTGTACCTGTCTAAGAAACCTAGCCATTTCAAACAGCTTTGCTTATCAACTAGGCTATCCAAACCAGTTTCTTCCAGTTCCGAGAGATTTTTACATCCGTGGATGTCAGTTTTAGCAATGTCATGCATTATGTGGCGTGAAATCGGTATTCAATTCACAGCACATATCCTCTCATGACTCCCATATTGAAAAAATGAAACAATAACATGCGTATTGACTCACCTAGTGTATATGGAATGAAAACAAAAGCTCAGAATAAAATAAAAAATGGGAACAAAATGGATTGTTCTCTATAGAAAATGATAACAAAATATGTAATTTGACCAGGGGAATTTAAAGTTTTGCGTACAACTATATGTCATGGAAAAATGGTTTGTGAGTGGTCACTTTGCATGCCAGTCAAATGGCCACTTTCTGTCAAAGTAGGCATTTCTCATCCACGCTGAGCAACAAAAACCTTCTGATTTTCGACACTTTGACACTGGTCAGAAGTCTGACCTGCAAGAATAACAAAATTGTAACTTAAACAGCTTTTTAAAATAAGGCTTTCTTTAGTGGTTCTGTGTTCCAGAAGTTTCTGTTTTTGACTACCATCTATGAAAAAACATTATTTTGTTTAACTGTTGATAATCCAGTTGTGAGAGGTTTCTACCCTGGTAGCCCATCGATCTTTCCACTTCTCCAACAGGTCAGGAGGGCACGGTGATCGAGGATGACAGCATGGACACGTCAAACGAGTCCAGCGACGAGGACAATGAACAGCGAGGGGAGAACGTAAAGAATATGGACTGCACGCTCTCATACGAGCAGCATGGCCTAGTCCACCTCTCTGACCCGGGGCTGCCGGATTGGGCCACGTATCCGGCACTGTTGAGCCTGAGCGCAGAGCTGCAGCGGGATGCGGAGGCACGAGAGCTGGCGAGTTCGGTACAGGGCTGCCTGCTGCGCCGCTGCCTGCTGCGGGACGGCAAAGGGGGCGTGCACCTGTGCAACCATGCTCAGGCCAGGCTGGAGGCCAACGTGTTCCGCGGACTCAATTATGCAGTGCGCTGCATCCAGAATGCTAAGGTAAAGCAGCTACACCAGCCAGGTCATACATATGGATTTATAGTACAGAGAAAGACATACAGTAATGCAAGGTCGTACATTGGGTTTCATTACTGTAGCTGTCTTTTACCCCAGGAAGCATGTGAGTCTGTCACAGATGTAGCTGGGAATAGTACAGAGTTGCATGCATTCACACCGGCAGCGAAGCGACGCAACAAAGCGTACGTCATTCATTTTCAATGAGAGCTGACGATTTCCGTCGACAGGAAGCAGCGCAAATACTGTTTTCCTCACAAACTATCTGCACAGACACAGGGATTGAATAAAAATAAGCACACAAGCAATTTCTCACCCGGATTTTTATTTCTAGCGGGAATGCATCTGATTTGTGCTTGGCGTCAGTGAAATCATGGCAACCAACGGTCTGCTCGAGTTCAGAAATGCCCCACGATAAGCGATAAGCGATTTTGGGTGACAAGAGGCGAAAAGTCACTGCCGGTGTTAAGCTCTAAAATTTGAAGGATGTAAAGTAGGTCACATGATAATGCCAGGGATCACATGATAACATGGAGTGGTAGAGGTTTAAGTAGCATGGTATACAAAAATAATGACAGATTTTTTAAGCACCTTTCAAGATGCCTAAGGACACTGTACACTGAAGATTAAGATAAAGATTAAAAAAAATTACTCACTGCACAAATTCCAGTTAAACAGAACAAATTATTCTAGCATGATTTAGCACTCCAGAGAAAACGTTTTCACTGCTCCAGACTCTAGTGGCAGAGTGATTTGCACAACTCCAGCCGATGCTTGGCATTGCGCATGGTAATCTTAAGCTTGTGTGCAGCTGCTTGGCCAAGGAAACCCATTTCATGAGGCTCCTGACACTCAGTTCTTGTGTTTGGTGTTTCTTCCAGAGGCAGTTTGGAACTCTGTGGTGAGTGGAGGGTAGGCAATATTTATGCTCTGTGTGCTTAAACACTCAGTGACCCTGCTCTCCTGCTCTGTAAGTTGACTAGGGCAGATCCATGACAGTCCAGTTGAGCTCTTCTGTACGATCCAGATCCAGTATTTTATATTTTTGTAGAGTACTTTAAAGAAGGTAAAAACATTCCAGTTTAGATACTTTATTTTATGTTAGTCATTTTAATTTGCAGTAAAATATCTTGGGTGGGCATAGTGTGACAGACCCTGAACTGATTTTTTGTTTCTTTGACCGCCTTTTTGAAATGAACGTATGACCAAATGACCATTTTATAGTTCTTTGAACACACTAGACCATCTGTTCACAAACCAGTCCTCAGGTCATCCGACCCCCCACCCCAGACAGTTCACATTTTTGTTGTTGTTTTTTCATTTACATTTTAAGTGATGTGTAACCTGGAGTACGCTAGTAATTTAACCTGAAGAGGGAGGCAATTCAGCAGATAGTAAAAGAAAAAGAACAATTACTGCTAAAAGAAGTAAAGTCCGGTAGCTTTCCCACCATGTCAGTTTTCTGACAAACAGAACTACACCCTGAGGATGTGCAGTTTGTGATTTGTCAGAATGAGCTAACATTGCCTTTACATTACTAATGTTAGTCACTGGAATATATTAAGTTGTATCAATTTGTGTTAATTACAAGCATTTAGCAGGCTACTTAAAAAACTATTGAACATTCGTAGCTTGTCCTGTCATTGCATTACTTACATAACATGGTGTTAGGCACCTACTTACAGCTTAAAATACACCTCTTTTTGTAAACAGTTTCGCAGACAAAAAATGTCTTCCGTTGAAACCTCTTCATACACAGCTTGATGAAATGATGTAGCAGCCTGAAGAGCTGTTAACATGAATCATGTATAATCATATATATATATATATATATATATATATATATATATATATATATATATATATATATATAACATGAATCATGACATACTTAATATCATATCACTTATTTTTAGTTACTGTGTTGCTGGCATCAAATTCAAAATGGGCATATTTTTCACAAAAACATTAATTCTTTGTTTCAACATTTGATATGTGGTCTTTGTACTATTTTCAATTAAAAACTTGGGTTTAAATGATTTGCATTACATTCTGTTTTTATTTACATTTTGCACAGTGTCCCAACTTTTTTGTAAAAGAATTGTAAAAAAATCCAGGTCTGCCTCAAAGGGCAATGTTAGCAAATAGTGAAAACTCCTCAGAGCAGGAGGAAGAAATTAATACCCAAAAGGGGACACAACACTGGATAGCAAAACAATAACACTACAAGAACAGTATGAATAAAGAAAAGATTTGATAATTTATATACAATAAAGTATAGTGTTTAGATTAACCAGTGAAGACTGATGGCTACTGTCAGAGGCCGGTCAGTCAAATGTGCACTAAATGGTGGTTTGCTGTTCCTGTGGTAAAAGGGGTGAGCCAGCAACAGGAAAGCCGTGGGTTCAAATCCCAGGGCTGACTGGAGGTACCTGGTTGCGCCTTTTGTCAGGGCACTTAACGTCTGTGCTGGCGACACTGTGGTGCTCCCAGACTGGACATAGTTAGACAGTGTAATAAGAGATTTCCCATTAGGATCAATAAAGTATTTGACTCATCACATGCTTTTTCTTCATACTAGAGTGCCTCAAGCATAATTTTCAGTGGCTGTAAACCCTCAGCTCAGTATTTTAACACATGAAACACATTTCTAGTACAAAATAGTGTTCAAAATAATGCAGGCCCGTTTTTAACCATGGATTCCCATCCAGGGTTCACCACTGGTTCTGCAGTATGCAGCCATATAATCGCAGTAAGGTGTTTATGTAAACATAAATGTAATGGTAAGCACATTCACTAGGCCTTTTTTTCTTTGCTAGTTGGTAATGTTACGTAACGAGGTGAGTGGGTGCCGAGCATCTGGTGTTTTCCTGCGTCTCTCCGCCCAAGGCCTTATTGCCGAGAACAACATTCATTCCAACGGGGAAGCAGGACTAGACATCCGCAAAGGAGCCAACCCCATCATCCTGGTAACCATCTACCACCCACAGAGCTGTCTGCACTTATAACCTAGCTTAAGCTGAGGATGGCATTATAGTCTCTGTTGTTACAAAAAGTAGCTGCTGTTTTGCCTTTTATTTTTGTGTAAACACTACAGGGCATGTAAACATGAGATTTTGTGTTTGCGATTATGCTGTATAGTCAGCTCCATAATTAATGGCACCCTTGGTAGAGATGGGTAACAAAAGGTCTTGGAAAAATGAAGTTAATTAGCTTGCATAAAAAAATCAATAAAACAACATCACTGTTATTGGCACACATGTATTCAGTACTTTGTGTACTCACCCTTTGCCAACATAACAGTGAGACTTCTCTTATAATACTTGCAGAGAGTGGCAAATCTATTCAAGACCACTCCTTAATACAGAATCTCTCCAGGTCCTCCATGATCCTATGTCCTCTCTTTTGGACCTCCTTCTTCAGCTCACCCCACAGGTTTTTCAATGAGGTTTAGGTCAGAGGTTTGGATGACCATGTTTAAAGCTGATTCTGTATTCGTCCCACCATTTTCATGTGGATTTTGATGTATTTTGAATGACCGTGCTGATGGAAGGTCCAACCATAATGTTGTTTTAGCTTTTTGGCCACATTTTCATTTAAAATTTTCTGGTACATCACAAGTCCATGATGCCATGTTCAACAATGTTCCCATGGCCTTTGAAGATAAAGAAGCCTCAAATATCCTACGTGTGCAGATGAGATTCTTTTCTGTATGCCAAACCCACCTTAATTGTGTGAGGCCAACAAGCTCTATTTTTGTCTTATCTGGCCATAGAACCTGATTCCAGGCAATGTTCCAGTGGCATCTAGCGAACTCCAGTAGCTTATGTTTGTGTGTGATGAAGGAAAACTATCTTCTGGCAAGCTTTCCAAACAGTGTCTTGGCACGTAGGTGGCATCTGATTGTACTTTTGGAGACTTGGTGACCCCTACCATGAAGGAGAGATTTTTACCACAGACCAAAATGCACTTTCCCAAAGGTGTTCAGTGGGGTTGAGGTTAGGGTTCTGTGCAGTCCACTGGAGATCCTCCACACCAGACTAACCAAACCATGTCTTTATGGAGCTCACATTATGGACCGAGGCACAGTCATGCTGGAACAGGAAAGGACCTTCCCCAAATTGTTGCCACAAATTTGAAAGCATATAATTGTCTAAAATGACTTTGTATGCTATAGCATTAACTTTACCCTTCACTGGAACTAAGGGGCCCAAACCCTGACAAACATTTGAGTTGAGCTACTTACCTACAAAGACCTATCTTTACCATGGGTGTTAATAGTTATTGAGCTGACTGTATATACTATAGCATTACTTTTGTAACTAAATCAGTTTTCTTTCTCAAAAAGATGCAATTAATAAAAAGCACAAAAAAGAAATTGTGAGGTTTTGATAATACAGCAGCTAAATCCATATTATTCAGATTTTATGTTAGCAGTGTGCTATATAATATAGCCTTTAAGCCCCTAGAGAAGGAGTAGCTGAATAAACTATGCATGTAATATAATGAACACTGTCAAAAAATGTTATTTTAGCACACATCAAACATACATGTACTAGAAAATGTTGGTTTTAAAGCATATTTTAATAAACTGTGAATCTCATCTTCATTGTGACTGAAGAAAACAAGACATTCTGCACTTTCTTTCATTGCCATATTGTTTTCTGTCTGCCTTTCGTTCTTTCTTTCTTTCTTTCCATGGCCGCAGTGTAACAGAATCCACAGTGGGCTGCGTTCCGGGATCGTCGTCCTGGGTAACGGGAAAGGTTCCATTCGCAGCAACCAAATCTACGGCAACAAAGAGGCTGGAGTCTACATTCTTTTCAATGGCAACCCTGTGGTCAGGTAGCAAGGAACACATGAGAAGGCATTTCTTTGTGAAAGTGTGTGAAGGTTTTATATTGTCTGTATATTATATTGGTTATCAATGTGGAAAACTTGTATCTATATACACCAGCCACTTTATTAAGTACACCTATCAGCTCCTCTTGCCATATAGGAGCACAATAACAACAACAACAGACTGTAGTCCATCTGTTTCTCAGCATACTTGTTAGCCCCCTTTCACCCTGTTCTTCAATGCTCAGGACCCCCACAGGAGCACCACAGAGCAGGTATTATTCGGGTGGTGGATCATTCTCAGCACTGCAGTGACACTGACGTGGTGGTGGTGTGTTACTGTGTGTTGTGCTGGTGAGAGTGGATCAGACACAGCAGTGCTGCTGGAGTTTTTAAACACCTCAGTGTCACTGCTGGACTGAGAATAGTCCACCGAACAAAAATATCCAGCCAACAGTTGCCACGTTTACATGCAGCCTTATAATTCGTTAGCAATCTAATACTACACTAATAGCTCAATTAGATTAGAATACGTCCATGTATACATTCCAAATATAATTTATATCTAATTGAGTGAGGTGGGTAATCCTGTAAATAATCTGTTAAATAAAAGAATAATAATCATGTAAACGTCTCTATCTGATTACATTCCCAATCTGAAAGTTTAAGTTCGTTCTGTGCATGTGCATAGTGAAAGTTTCTAACATTCAGCATGGTGGGAGCAGAAACTGGTCTGCAGAGGAGATGAAGTTTATGCATTATACTTTAAAAGACAGCAGTTGGGTGGGCGTCCAGCTTATGTTTATGTCTATAGCTGACAGCGGTGCAGTCATCATTATACCTATTCTAGCACTTCCACAGGGATACAGAACAAGCAAGACTGTCATCTGAAATCAGCCAGAATCTAACCATTGTACACTGAGTGTTGGCACAGCGAGCATAAACAGTGTTTTCTGAAAGTACAGCTGAATGTACATGTTGAAACAAACACTAAACCAGGTGATAGCTTTACGTTGATTTTTATTTCATTGATCTCTCTCTGTCTGTCTGCTTATCTGTTTTTCTCTCTTTCTTCTTCTAATGCTGTAAAAGTATACTTTGAGTCGTAAGTGCTCCAAACAGGTGATGAGTGTGAGGATGACTTTACTCCTTTAGCTAAAGCTTGCTTTCTCCACTCTCCATTTCAAACTGCTTGGCTAATCAACCATCCAGGGTAGACAGCTGAAGTTATCTTCTTATTTGCCAGTTTCTTTTCTGATTTTCTGTTACAGCCTAAATAGTGCAAGAGTGTTACAATTCTAATAAGAAGCTTGCAAGTAAGATACTAACCTATTCTTCGTCCACCATGGATTGTAGATAAAGCTGTAGGAATACAATGCATTACGCAAATCCAACTATAGAAACCATTTCCAGTATCAAACATGAAATCTAGTTGTATTCAATTCACAGCACATGTTGTTTCATGACCCATGTATTGAAATAAATAAATATTAGCATGCATTTTCTGATGCCCCTACTACACAGCTATTGATTACAAATTTAGCAGTGTCTGAAAAATAGAAGAGAACATTAGATTGTTAAATCCTCTGGATATTTTTTTTTTTTTTAGAAAATGTGTCAAATGTGTTAATAATAAAAACAAGTAGCTTGAAAGCAATATTGTTGCTTTATTGGTGGAGTTGCTGATGACAGTAAATATATGGAACCATAATATGATATGTCAGTTGGGCCCAAGTACTAAATTCAGATTTGATGAATCATAGTTCAAACCCACAATGAGCACTAATTCCCCTTTTTATTTTTCTTTCTGTCAGTGGGAATCACATATTCCAGGGCCTTGCTGCTGGCATTGCTGTTAATGAGAACGGAAGAGGGCTGATCACTGGTTTGTATGACCATAATGAATTTTTCTGTAGTGAACATATTAATCATTTATATCATACAGTCAAATACCATGGACAAATGTGAACATTTGAGATGTGAAAGTTAAGTACATGTTAACACAGTATTCATGGCACTAATGTTTTAATGCTGATGAAGGCTTTTTGTTAGTTTACCCTTCTAACAATCCATAGTAGTGCAGACTGAAGCCCAGCTGGTTGCGTGTCCTATATTGCTCTGATAGAATCTGTTACTGAAGCCTTGTCATTCAAAATACATCAACAAATAACAATAAAATATGAGCACGGGTAACAGATTCGATTTGGGATGGACTGGCCGAATTTCTAGATGTTGCCGACATCAATGTTTAGCCGTTCTTGCATCAGAGAATTGTGCAGTTTGGCCAGATTTCATGGATGCCTTCCCTGGCATCTTACTTGTTGGCTTTCTTGCGTGCCACTTGTGTGCGGTTCCCTGCGGAGTGTTCTTTCAGAAATTGGTTGTGAAGGACGTGTGTTAACTTTTAGAAGCAATTCTTGTCTGGAAGTGAAGTAATTTTTAATCACAAGCCGTGAAACATGCCGGCGGTCCCTGTCCATCAGTTTTGTCTTTCGGCCACAATTCTGATGAGAATTTCCTGTAGACTGGGATTTTTGCTGCTGCTGGTAGACCCATATGATCGTACGCTTCTATACATCTGAAAATTCAGCTACGTCCTTCACACCGTGGCCTTTGGCCTTTGACCACCTCTTCTCAATCTGTGAATCCTGTCGCACACCCCGCAGGTATTTATAGCCCGATCATCCTTGTGCAATGCCATCTGCAGAAGCCTGAGGTTACTCGCGCCTTAAAAACGCAAGGTCACTAATTTTTTGTCCGGGGAGCTTACATATACTCCAGAATTTAGGAACTAAATAAAAAATTGTCTTCCACCAACTGAGCCATAAGTGATCTTAGGAGTTTGTAGTAATACATGCCAAAACTGTTAAGCACTTTAAATGAAATAAGAAAGATTTTATAGTCCATGCGGAACTTAACATTCTGATGAAGTTTATTTTGTCCACTTGCATAGCTGTAACAAAATGTGCTGCTTTTTAAATGCAAATAAAATAATTTGAGAAAATAAGACATAGGCAATTAATGTCTAATTAATAAACAATAAACTTTTTAAGCTGTGAATTACCTTAGATTCTTCCCTCTGGAAAACTAATCTCATTTCTGAAAGCATAAACTTTTAAAATTTACTTAATAACTGAAGAGTTTTTAAGGTTGTATGCTACAGATGTGGTAGATAGAGATTATGTTTAAAAACGATGGAAATGAGGTAGTATTATCTGTCTCTGCCATTAGGAGTCTTTCACTGTTCTCTCTGTTTGGTCTTCTCTTGCTGGGATCTCTGGCCTACTGCTTACCTATCTGATTTGTCTTTTGCAGAAAACGTGATCAGACAGAATCAGTGGGGTGGTGCAGATATTCGTAGAGGAGGCGATCCCATACTGCGCAATAACTTCATCTGTCACGGCTACTCAGATGGAGTGGTGGTGGGGGAGAGAGGCAGGGGGCTCATTGAGGGCAACCACATCTATGGTAAATGTCTATTTGGGAATGGCAGTCAAGATTAATTAGCCTTGAATAGTTGAACTTGCTTGAATAGTTAAGCAAAAATCTAATGTTCTCTTACCCCAAACAATCAGCCGAGAAGTTTGCGTTTTTTTCTAACTTTACACTGTAGCTATGAGGCTAACAAGTAGTATTATACATCAGCTATTTGAAGACTGCATGCCTAAATCACCACAGACTTATCTTAAAACATAATGAGTTGTGATGTATTCTCAAATAGGCTTGCTTATGTGGTTTCTGACTCTAACACCGTTATCTGTAATACTGGACAAAAGTAAGTTGCATAGCTATAAACAGTTATAGCAACAATCTCAAATTCTGTTTTTTCTTTATTTGTGACTATTATTACAGATACCACATAAGCAAGACTGTCTGTGTGATGCAGTTTGCACAATGCTAATAGGTAGTGTATAAGCATCCCTTAATTGTTAGCCTTATAGTTGAGGTCTGCATTCAAGGGACCCAAAAGACCCACCACAATATCAGTCAGCGTCAGTGTTACGAGGGGGAACGGACGGTTTATCAACCCATATTCATACATGTATAAGAATCCTGCAGGCTTCTTCATTTCCGTAGCCTACATGATAGCAACTTTTATTCGTTATTCATTTATTTTTCGTTTATAATATATAACAGCAAAATAACAAGAAACAATAAATACATTCTGAAACATCAGAAGTTGCTTTCATGAAGGTTACAGAAACGAAGGAGCCTTTAGACAGATGACCACAGCTGTGGAAAATGCTCATAAGAAAGGCGAACACATGATGATAAAGCCAACTAAAGGCAAGTCTGACATGTGGCAGCCTTTTTTAACCATGAATAACACAGATGGAAACTAGATAACTACTCAAGACAAAGTAGACTAGACAAAAAATTGGTCCCGTGCAGAACTAAAGTTTGTAAGTTCTTTAAGGCATTGCCCAGTAAAAGCTGGTTAATATTTGTAGTCATGGACTACAACACCCCTTGCATATGTAGATTCTGCTTCACTTGCTTCTCTCCCCTTCACTGTGTTCAGTTATTGTTTGCTGGGAATATTGGACTGAGGGACGCTAAAGATTTTAAAGTAGTGTTTTATTCGATTTTTTTTTTTGTTTCATTTAAACTTTCTTGTACGTCCAACATAACATTTATCATACAGTTGTCTTTAATATTTTGCACTGTGTTCCTTGGGACTATAAAAAATGTGTTTTTGTGTCCAGCTATTTCTTTAAATTTGCTGTAGAGACCTTGTCGTAAACCTTGGATTTCTCTCATATTGGCTGTGGCAGGCAATAGGGGCTGCGGAGTCTGGGTGATGTCATCAAGTCTCCCTCAGCTCATCGGAAACTACATCACCCATAACCGCATGTATGGGCTGGCTGTGTTTTGCCGGAAGGACCCGGAGTCTTCGGGAGCTGGCGAGGGCTATCGTCCAGCACAGGAACGAGAGAGAGGAGGAGGAGGGGGAGGAGGAGGAGGAGGAGGGGAGAGAGGAGGTCAAGAGAACTTCCATGAGGAAGGCGAGCTGCTGGCGTGGGAAAGTGACATGGACAGTGAGGACGAGCGTTTCTCTTCTCGTCGGCCAATCACCGTGGCCTTAGTGGAGAACAACTGCATGAGCCGCAATGGAGGTAAAAAAATGCTAACAACTCGTCCTCTCATGCTCACACTTTTGCTGCCTGAATCTCGAATCCATACACTGAGTTGACAGTTTATTAAGCACATCTACCTTGTATGTATACTCTTGTCCATTTTATCAGGTCCACTTACATATAGGTGCACTTTGTAAGCTTACAATTACTGTCTTGCTCATCTGTGACTGCACAATTTATCTGCCCCATTTACTCCACTCATCAGCAGGAAGGGATCATCACAGGACCACCATTGAGCAGGTATTATTTGGGTGATGATTATTCTCAGTGCAACATTGACACTGAAATGGTATTGATATGTTAGTTAGTGTGGCACTGGTACAAGTTTATCATGCACAGCAGCATTTCTGGGTGTTTTTAATACTGTGTACTAGTAGTGGCTGGAATACAGTATAAAGAAGCACATATAATGCAACGTACAAACAGTGCAGAACATGCTAACGTTAGTTAAGTGGCTAGTTATGGGGGTTTCAGGAACATTTAAACTGAAAATGAAAATGTAACAGACCCTTGATCACCTCCTCCTGTCTAGTCCACTTTATTTTTGAGGCAGTGGATATAAGTGAATGCTCAGTCTTCGCCTAACATAGACACTGCAGCGATTGATGGGCTATTTCTGTTTTCTCTCATACCACCTAAGAAGCTGCATGACTCTGTCAGCTGCATCAGATGATGCTATAGTAAAAAAAAGTACTGCTACTCCTCTACCTTAAGCATACAACGATACAACAGTAAAACAGTCAAATTAAAGGAAAAAACTTTGATATTATGCAGTAATGTTGACTTTTGGCTGTGAATTCCCAAGCTAATGACAATGCTAAAGACACACAAGACAGATCATCATCATCGTTAACCACTTAGTCCAGATAGGGTCGCGGTTGCAGTTGGGAGAGCAGAGAATCCCAGACAACCCTGTCCCCCGCAACTTCCTCCAGCTCATTCCCAGGGACCCCAAGCCGCTCCCAGGCCAACTTGGAGATATAATCCCTCCTGCGGGTCCTAGGACGACCCCGGGGTCTTGTTCCGGTAGGCGGTGCCTGGTACACCCCTACCGGGAGGCGTCCAGGGGGCATCCAGATCAGATGCCCGAACCACCTCAGCTGGCCTTTCCCCTTACCTGGAGTGGGCATGCCATCCTTTTCCGGGCTAAGACCATGGACTCAGACTTGGAGGTGCTGATCCGCGTACCAACCACTTCACACTCACACTCGCTGCAAACCGCTCCAGTGCGCGCTGGAGGCATCCATGTAATCCAGCCAAAAGAACAACATCGTCTGCAAATAGCAGAGACGCCACCCTCCGGCCTCCACACATAATGCCCTCCTGACCCCGGCTACGCCTTGACACACTGTCCATGAATATCACGAACAGGAGTGGAGACAGGGCACAACCCTGGCGTAGTCCAATGCTAACACTGAAAGATTCTGACTTAATGCCGAGTATACGAACACAGCTCTCACTCCGGGCGTACAGAGATTGAATGGCCCGGAGTAGTAACCCCAGCACCCCATACACCCGGAGGACCTCCCACAAGATATCTCGGGGAACACGGTCGTAAGCCTTCTCTAAATCTACAAAACACATGTAGATTGGGTTGGCAAACTCCCATGGCCCCTCAACAATCCGTGAGAGGGTGAAAAGCTGGTCCATTGTTCCACGGCCAGGACGGAATCCGCATTGTTCCTCCTCAATCTGAGGTTCAACTATCGGTCGAAGTCTCCTTTCCAGCACCTTGGCATAGACTTTCCCCAGGGAGGCTGAGCAGTGTGATACCCCGATAGTTGGCACACACCTTCTGGTCCCCTTTCTTAAAAATAGGGACCACCACCCGGTCTGCCAGTCCAAGGGTACTGTTCCCGAGGTCCATGCAATATTGCAGAGGCGTGTCAGCCACGACAGCCCCACAATATCCAGAGCCTTAAGCATCTCCGGACGAATCTCATCCACCCCGGTGCCTTGCCGCAGAAGAGCTTGCCAATTACCTCAGTGACCTCCACCAGGGAAATGAAGCTTGACAGGTCAGCCCACGTAACCCGGCCGGGCTCAGCCCGAAGAGGCAACGTGGGGGGACCATGTAGGCCCACCACCCGCAAGGTCCAGCATGGAGGAGTGGTGCAGTGCCGTATAGGCAGTGGGAGATTGCAGGGGGCCCTTGGTGGCCTAGGCCCCTGCGGCAGAAAGACAGATGATAAACCTAAATTAACAGCGAAATCAAGTGTTTTGATGTGTTTTCTACTCATTTCTGGAGGAAAGGCAATGTGTAAATCATGTAGCCACTTCTGTCTGTGTTATTTATGCCAAGATTTGTTATTCTGTGTGAATTAGTCATAAACATAACAGACATCTTGTGGTAAATTGGCATTACCCACCCTCCGCATGGGAGACCAATCCTGTTTGAATAGTGCTTTACTCTCATAATTTTTCAGATACTCCCTGGAATTTAATTTGAAAGCTGGCTGTTGCTGTAGCTGCTGTGCTAAGAATGATCCACCACTCAAATCTTTAATATTTGCTCAGCGGTAAGAATGGAGATCTCTAGGCACCTAATGATTAAATTTGATTCTTGCCAAAATGGGATTCTAAAATGATTCTTTATGCTTTTTGCTTTCAGTAGTCTACATTATGCTTTTTTGCTAAGAATTAGAACATTAGAACAATTCTAAGAATAGTTTTTTATTTATTTATTTTTTTTTAATGAGTCAGCGGCGGTCCTGTCGTGGTCCCTTTCCATTGCTGGATGGGGTAGAGGGGGCTGATCAACTGTCCATACTGTCTGTGCTACAGATTACCAGCAGCTTTCCCTTGCCCTTTGCCTCTCCTCAATCTTCTTTCTCACTTGTACACTTACTCAGAAACTCTTTCTCTGCAGCAGTGGGAGTGTACGTGAAGAGCAGTGAGGCGCTGAACGTGGTGGGCAACATGGTGGCCAACAACCGGGCAGCTGGTATGTCTATCATCCAGAGCTCTCAGCTGACCCGGCTCGTCGGGAACTGCGTCCATGGCAACGGCAGGGTGGGCATCACCGTGGACAGAGAGTGCCGGGTGGAGCTGCGCGGCAACGGCATCTATGGCAATGGTTGCCATGGTATTTGTTTTCGTGGTGATGGGCAGATTGTGGAGAACGATGTGGTTGGAAACGGCGCGATCGGGATACGAGTGATGGAGAGCGCAGATGTCAAGGTGTATTTTCCATCTTGTTGACCCAAAAAGGATTGTTAAAATTATAGTTCAGCAAAAAATCTAATTTACACAATTTATCTTTTACTCTAAATGTAGTCAGACAGATAAAACATGTGTGATGGTCAGAATATTCATCATTAGTTTTGCTGGAGCTACAAGGTTAATGTAGCTAACAAGTAATGGAGGCTAGCATGTAAACACCAATTAGCATCATGCAAACTGTGTGACTAAATTATCACACACTGGACTCACACCATATTGGGTTTTTATCTTAAACAGACTTGAACATGTGGTAAATGTGCTACATTTAAGGTGGAGCGACAAAACATGAACAAGAAGCTGGCGAATAGCTGACTTCAGCTTTATATCACTGAAGAATTAGAGGGGGTCAATAATAATTCATTGTCTTATCCCCCCTCTTTGAAGGCATATGATTCCCTAAATGTAACTAAAGCCCAGCAGCGAGGTTGCTGAACTTTACTCTCCTCTGCTATCACTGCAGACTGGCAGGGTCTCCTACAGAGCACCACTAGTAGCCAGTTAATGAAGTAATATTATTCTTTATTTGAGGGTTGTCCTGTTTCATAGGGGAAGATTTCAATCACAACCCTTCTAACTCCGTTCCAAGGGGCAAGGTGACACTTGAAAACAATAGGGAGGGGTAAAAATAAGAAATTGGACTGGGCCTAAGAATTGTCACTTCCGAGACACAAATTTTCTTCAATTAAATAAACTTTTTTTTGGTCTAATGAAAAATGTTACATTTTTATGTCTGTACAGCTGTTCAAAGCTATGTTTGCTAGTCATGTACTGGCAAATGTTTCTAAATTATGCTTAAAATTACATAGTCACTGCAGAAACAGCACTACAAAGTAAAGAGTATAAACTTCCGGTACTCGTTAGCTGCATTAGCTTTATGACTCCCGTGCAAAGCTAACACTTGGGGTAATGAATAATGAATTTGTGTTGGCGAGCTGTCACTTTAAATTAGTTACAGTTTACAGAAGTAAAGACACATAGTGTGTGTACTTCCTGCAGGTCCTGAGGAATCGTGTACAGTCTTTGCGGGGGTGCGCTATCTCTGTGAGGGAGCAGGTCCGGGGTGTTGTTCAGGAAAACCTGGTGTATCAGGGCTTCCCAGCCAACATCAAACCGCCCATATACACCAACCCACTCAACCAAGAGTGCGTCATACTCAGCAACACTCTGCTCACACACAGGTAAGTCAGATTAATTACACACAAACACTGCCCTTCAAGTTTTATTTGCCTTCTTTTAAAATTCAGGGGATGCCTTTATGAGCTCTTTCACTCACAGTTCAGATCTCCGTAACTCAGTTTGAGCTGCTTTTGGAGATGCAGCTCCACGCAAGATGAAGCAAATGGGCTAAATGTTTTGTGCAAATATGCAGTGCTCCTCACAGGACGAATAGATGGTGATACTAAGCCACTTTCCATTTTATAATAATTTTATAATTTTATTCTACTATTCTACAAAATTTTGAAGTCATTAAAAATTGTGTCATTTGAACATTTTGGTTATTTTATTCAATATTACCATACCCAGTATAGATATAAATGTTATAAACGACACACTAAACACACTAAAAGATATTTTTAGATTAAAGAGTTAAGAGAATCTTAAATGATTGAAGTAGTTGTCTCCATTTCTTTTTGTATTATATATCTTTCTCTCACTCTCTCTCAGACCAAACACTCCTTGGGCTCTGGAAAATCCACCTCCTCGTCCCCTCGGCAACAATCCACCCAGTGCCGCCTCTTCGGCACACCCTGCCAACCTTGCCATCAGCATGACCAGCAGAATCACCACCACTGTGGAGAGTGGTTGCCATAACAACGGCAGCATCTTCTGCTCCATACTTTGAGGGTAGAAGGTATCCTCACTGATCTTTTGGAAGACTGAAGTCACCTTTGGACCACCACCTTTATCAGAGGGACATGTTGGTGTTGAAGACCTTAATTTTGGATTAAAGCACTTAGGGACACTGTCCCAATCTACTTTCCACTTTTTCTTAGTAACTTACAACACTGAGAAGCCTGAAAAGGACTTCTGCCCCCCCGTAAGACTGGATGAGTACATAAGCCACATAATGTCAAGGACTAGTTTGACAAAGTTCAGATTTATGTAATATTCTCTATACTCCAAAAGCAGTTGATTAGGACATGGCTACATCTTCAGCTATAAGGCTAATGTAGGTAACTAGTAATGGAAGCTTATAGCCATTAAGTTTGACTATGCAAACTGCCTGCCTGACACTGCCTTTACATTTCTCAGGCATGGTAAAGCAGCGCAATGAATCCTGTTCTTTTTCTATAACATACACACGTCTTTTGAGTGCTGAGTACACCATTCACGTGCAGTATGTTGAGATTTTAATTTTAGGGACAGGGAGGTTTACTGCCATTGGAGAAGTCTAAGAGAGAATCACTCCTCTCCCTACCACAGCACAGCAACCGTTCACTGTAATTATTCAACCCACAGATATCATATTGAATTTTGATTGGCCAATCAGAACTAAGATAACGTTATTGTAATGTGAAAAGGGAGCCATGTTTTGTGAGCAGTAATGGTGGTTTCATTTTTGCATATTCACATTTGTTTTTTCAGTAGCTTTCAAACTGTGGGCCAAAAAAGGTTGAGCAAAGTATCATTGTTAGAAACCGAGACAGTCAGCTTCCTTTTAGTTTACGTCTGAAGTTGGTGTAGAACATAGTGATTTCTTTGCCTTTACATATCTGACGGATCCATAAAATGCAGCAGAAGCAGATTAATTTAAATTTTGCCGACGGTGTTGAAGTGAACTTGTCAGTCCTCTTTAACAAAAAAGTAAATACATGTACAACCCACAATGAGTGCATTTACATGCACTCAGTAATCCGATCATTATCAGATTTCTCCAGTTATCTGATTTTTCAAATAGTCATGTAAACAGCATACTCTGATTTCTTAGATCGGAGTAAGGTCTAGAAATCTGATTAAGAAATCTGATAAAGAGAGATGGATTTTAACTCAGTAAACAGATTTCTCAGTGCATGTGTGCTCTTACTTGGATTTCTTTCAGATTTCTCAGTCTGTGCATGTGTGAAAACAGACTGCGTTATGGAAATAAGCAAGCAGCGTTGCCACAAGGTGGCAGCAAAACACTTTTGAAGGGACGCTGAAACCAACTACATGCTTTAAGCCATTATATGGCATTAAGTTTTACGTTACGTTTACGTCACTTTTTCTTTGAGTTTATTGGCTGGTTGCAAAGCAAAAATCAGATTTTCTGCAGTTATCGGATTATTAAGTACATGTAAACGCACTCAATGTTTGCTTAACCCTACTGATTTTGTTCCTCTTCCTTTTCAGCACATCTAGATATTTTTTTTTGTAAGCACAATAAACCACGGCCCATTTAGAGCACATTTAAGTGTTGTAGGTTCATTCTGGATATAGCTTCGTCATCCAGAATGAAATCAAAACTTATCTTTTCAAAGCCAACAGATTTGCTGAATGTGTTCAAGTTTATTTTGTCAGGCTTGGTACTTATTTTAAACTTTTTCAAAAGTCATCTTTGTTGTGGTTGTCATCCTACATTCACATGTTGGTGGTAGACGGCAACTGGATATTCCATTATTTTCAATAAAGCCGCAATGGAAAATTTCACCACTGGCAACAGTCCACTGACCACGTCAACCACCGCAGTGGTATAAAGCGAATGTTGAATTTTTTTGGGAGCCATGAACTCCAAACCTCTCATTGTTGAAGTCCAGGTAAAATCCAGTATTATACAACACAAAAAATATAAGTGTCCTATTTTTTTTCACTTTAAATGAAGCATGCCTGTCATCCAATCACGTTATGAAGTCGAAACTAACTGTGGTGTGAAATTAGCCAAATGATGCACACTAAATTTTACAATTATTCACAAAAATCAAAGCATTAACTGTATAAATATCAAGCGTATGATGATTTAGGCATGACACTTGCACAGTGATAACTGGTGGTATAAGCTTCCATTAGAATCACCACACTGCCATTACACTAAAGCAAAATTGGGACACAAAGTCTTGGGTGGATCGTCTACATTTGGGGCCAAACTGTTTGTTTTGATTTTCTCAAGTCTCAAGTATATAACAGGTATGCAGTTTTACCCTCTGCCTGCTCAAAAAGCTCCTCTTAGGACTTAAAACCTTAAACTAGCCATTTTGTTCAGTACATGTACCATGAGCAGCACGTTTTGCACAATACAGCGGCCCTTTTTCATCAGAGTTGTGTAGAAGTGAGTGCAGAGTTATTTACAGTGAATCCTTCGGTACAAATTTTAATTCAAAGCTAACTCTGAGTAGCCAGTTAACATTTCCCGAGCTGATTGTTAAACAAAGCTATGTGAAATTTAGGACTGCAGACATGCATTAGTGAGATCCTGCATTCTTTTTTTTCTCCTCTAAGCAGGGCTGTGCCAAAACGTCCTACTTTATAATTTGTTTGGCTGTGTGTTTGTTTAACAAAGCCTAAATATAAAAGTCTGATTATGACATGGTGTGAATTAGGGCAAATATTTGACGTTGTTGACAGATATTTCTGTTGCTGTTTTAACATTTACATTTTTAAAGAGACATCCAGCTTAGAGTGAGTCAATGACTGAACCTTAGGAGGGCAGCAATTTACTTATAGTGTCATACCTATGTGAGCAGATAATGAATGAAAAAGAACTATCTGGGACTAAATCTGGGAGCATTTTCTTAAAATGAAGGATAAACTCACATGTGACATATGCAAGTCTCAGGAAAGCACAATGTTACTTTCAACTGGCAGAAAAGAAAACCTGTTGCTGTTAATTCTGAAGCAGCAGAACAATTTAATAAGTGATCGCTTTCCCATCATGACAGTGTTCTGACAAACTGAACTTCTTGATGAGAATGCCCACTTCACACTGTAAGTGATTAGTCAGAATGAACTAATTGCTAATAAACTTTGCTAAATCTATAGCTAATCACATGGCCTAGCAGCTGTTGCGATGGTGTTCCAGGTGATTGCTAAGGTGTTGCTAGGCCTAACGTTAGTCACTAGAATATCCAGGTTTTCCATAGTATTGAGGTCTTCTGCTAAATCTGACATGATTGCATGTCTGATACTTTTTTAAGTATCAGGACGCTGCTGGCTGGATATTTTTGGCTGGTGGACTATTGTCAGTCCAGCAGTGACACTGAGGTGTTTAAAACATCCAGCAACACTGCTGTGTCTGATCCACTTAGACCAGCACAACACACACTAACACACCACCACCACGTCAGTGTTAGTGCAGTGCTGAGAATGATCCACCACCTGAATAATACCTCTCTGTGGTGGTCCTGACTATTGAAGAACAGGGTAAAAGGGGGGTAACAAAGTACGCAGAGAAACAGATGGACTACAGTCTGTAATTGTAGAACTACAAAGTGCACCTATATGGTTAGTGGTGCTGATGAAATGGGCAAAGAGTGTAGAATCAAGGAGATGTACTTAATTAACTGGCTGGTTGATGTACATACAAGGTTCAAATACTAAAAAATATGAATGGAAGCATACCGTATTAGTAATGTAATTGTTCAGGCATGTCATGTAGGTCCAGTTTCGCAGACTCAGATTAAGCCTGTGCCTACACAAAAAGGAATTTCCAGTGGTGATTCACCATTGCCTCTGCAATTTGGCTTTAGCCTAGACTTAGTCTAGGAAACCGCTGCTATTTTTGGCCCAATTAACCCTAAAATTAATTCTATAACCAGTAGTGAAGCAGCTTTTTGTTTACACACAACTAATTTCTTTATTTAACTGTCCATCAGAGAATCCTCCTCTCACTAAGCACAGCTGCTTAGGGGAGCAATAATGTTCAAATGTTATGATACAATCCAGTTGTTGTTTTTGCATCGCCATAGAATTAGAAAAGCATGCTAACTTTTTTGTTTTTTTTGATAAATGGAAATGAAAATGAAAATGTTTTTTCCCCCTAAAAGCCAGCAGTGCTTGTTAAAGGAATACCTGGCACAAGTCAATTTCTTAGATGGCATAAAATACAAATATATATATATATATATATATATATAGATGTGCAAGATGTTACATGTTGCACGTGTGTTTGGCAAACACATAATATATAAGTAAACTAAAATGTTTGTGAACTATAAGGCTACATCTCAAAATTAAACTGAGTTTTACTTGTTCATTTTCAGCAGTCAGATCTTATGTTTCTGCATTAAGTCTGGCTCTCTGGCTGAAATGAGTGAGAGAGGATTTTCTAACCTAGCTCAGTCACTCCCTCAAAACTCTCTACAACTGAGTAGTGGTGCAAATCAGAGGCCACTTACCCTGTTGAGTTATTTGTTTCGCCCATTCAGAATCGGCAGTTAGCGGCTGCTTGAATCCTGTTTTCACCCTGCTACGGTAACCAAAACGAGTTAGCATATTTGAGATGTCAATACGGGTATTTACTACTCACGCAATGTCAGCACTCTGTTATTGTTAAGTCTACCACTTTTTATGCCCATCATTATTGCACTCGATTGGGAAACTGAAGTGTTCCCAAGCAGAAGACAAATGCAAGGATAATTTCGTTTTTCCCAACATAGACAAAGAAATTCTCAATGAGATTTAATGTAGTCATCTATGGCTATGTGATCACTTGTATTTCCTCCACCAAAACCACTTTAGTCACTTGGCGAGCAGTGAGGCATCTCGCATCGTCTCAGAATATCCCGTGATTTGTTGTGGTTTTCTTTGTTTTAATGTACGAAGGGGATAAACTCTCTGAAACACAATTTAGCATTGTTTTAGGTAGTTCAGATATTACACACAAACATGCACTCCAAGCAGGTGTGAGTATGTGAACACACCAACTCCAAAGATCGAATGCACAGTTAACAGAACTCTTGGGATACACAATTTGATGAATAAGGGCCTGTATTCTCAGCGAAATGAAAGAGAAATCGACACAAGCAAAGAAACAAGTGTGCCTTTTTGAACACCCCTGGTCAAATGACATGCTTTGCTGATTTTCTAAGTGAAAACAAGTACACATGCTCTGCAAACAAACCTTAAAATGGCTTTTTTTTCTGTCAATTTTAGTTCACAAATTCAATTTTATCTAATCTAGTTCAACATATTGGAATAAATAAAAGCATACGATGTGCCATAACTTTTGCACAGGCCACATTTTTTATTACCTGTAGTGGATGTGTTAACGTATTCTGACTTAGAAAATTATCAGAACATGTCATTTGAACAGGGGGCCCAGACTTTTGCATATGACAGTATCTACCAAAGAAAGGATGTTTCCCAGTTCCTCCCAGCTGACTGGATCAGAATGGCCTTCAAGGGATTTGCTGTGCAGGTTATAATTCTCGCTGCGAAGGATTATGTTCATTAATGTAGGCCTGTTTGTGCCATTAACGTTGATCCGAAATCAGTTTTTTCCACTTTCACTAATGATAAACAACATTATGGCTTGCGTTAGTGTAGGTGAAGCTGATTCTAGATCAGCATGAAAGCAAATGAGGGCAGTTTAATTATAGTACAGCGCATTAGACTAGCTGACTGACGATCAGCCCCGAACTGGGCGTGATTTTAACTGTACCAGGGTCCCCATGTTTATAAAAACGAATAAAAGTCCTCATCCTGGATCAGTTTTTCTCTTTTAAATTTAGGTAGAGTATAGAGTACGATTACATGGGCAAGACCAGAACTGATATAAGATCAGCACCCTTTGAGATGGGGATGGGCGATATGTCAAAAATGCAATACTGTGACACTTAAAGGCATTTTCACCATATAAAATGTCTATCATGAAATTTTTGTTTGCTAAAAAATGCTGGAATACACCAGACATGGAGATAATTTAAAGATACTGGATGTAAAAAGAAGTAGTAAAAAATGCATGCCTGTAATTTCTTTCCACTA